TGTGTGTGTGTGTGTGTGTGTGTGAGAGATCTGGATGAAGCTGTAGGGGTGTGTCCACAGTGCAGCAAACACTTGCTCTTTTCATTGTATGCAATGAAAGAGTGCTTTGCATTGTATGCAAAACAAAAAAAAACAGAACTCTGAACATTTACCGTGTCAGTGCTCAATCTTTGCATAAATATTGTTAAAAACACAGAGGCAGGCACCGTTAAGTGCTGTGAAACAAAACTACATTCAGTTTTATGCAAAGTTTTTATGTCACGTTTTTATTTTATATAACAAATATAGAAGAAAGAAACCTGTTTTTGTTGTACATATTAAGGAACATCTGATTATTTTAATAACCATAAAAAATTGAAAGTGGAAGAGGTAAATGTCAATTTGACTAGGCTGTAAAATGGAAGATRCTCATTTTGATTCAGACCAACTTAGGGGGAAGTGATAAAGTGCTGAAACATTCAGAGGTTAACGAGCATTTCACAACAAAAGTGATAGGTTGCAATAATGTTTTTTTTTTTCAATTGAAGACAAGCAAAGCACAAAAGCAACGATGTTTTTTATCCAGCAAATAGCTGCTGAGAAAATATATATATGTATATATATATATTTATTAAGGCACAGAAAGAAAACTGAAGTCAAATATGCTGTTTGATTCAGAACCAGATCTCAGAAGTTCAGGTTTATATTTGGGTTCACCTTTACAGTCATTTAGCAGTGCTGATTTTTCCTCTCTGGTTCTGAGGAACCTGTGAATGTCTGTGTGGAGAAGCTCAGCAGGTTTACTGCTCCTTCTTCTCTCCTTCTTTCTGCGTGTACTTGTTGTACTGGCTGTCAGTGTTCAGAAGTTTATCCCACCAGGTGAAGGTGGAGGCGTAGTTCCCGACGAAGTTCATGTGGTGGAAGTCATGGAAACGGGCGCCGGCGTAGAAAGGGATCAAGTGGAGGGGGTTCAGAGGGATGTCGTAACCGCTGGCAGGGRAGTGAGAGAGGAGTCAGAGGTAAGTGGCATTCTCAACAAACAAAAAGGCATTTTCACCAGAGGGAATAAGAAATACAAACTTGAAAACAACCCTTTTAAAGTACGTGTTTGTCAAACAGGAAGAGGAGATGACACTGCAGAAAAGATGTCTGTGGTTTATTCTAGTATAAACTGTAGTTACAAAATACTTGCTGGTGGGTTTTTATTATTCTTTCTGAATCCCATACATAAAAGCAAATTTTTCTTCCAAAATTGGTAATGCTTGTATTTCTTTCAGCTATATTTATGATACTGCAAGTTTAATTCAATTCAATTCAAAAATAATTTATTGATCCCAGAGGGAAATTAGGAAAATATTAAGGAGATTTACAGTGTTCATATCAATTATTTTGTCAATGTAAAAGCATCATAACAAAAAAAACTTTTATAAACTGAATTTAAAGAAGGGAAAAAAACTGTCTGACTTTACTTGTATGCTTTATTTAAATCATTCAGTTTTATCTACTGAATGAAAAATATATATTGTATTTAGGTCCTTTATTGTTTGCTTCTACTGACATAGAACCCGCTGGAGCTGGTGCATCAGCTATTGACAAACTTGGGAGAAGCTAATAGGAGTAATCCGAAAAGAAGTTACAGAGTTAAAAAAAAATTCTGAGAAAATGTACAAAAAATCATAAAGAAGATTTTGAACTAATGTTTTTAGTCATTATTATTACTACGTCCAAAAACAAACATAATCGTGACCTAAAAAAGGAAACAACAGTGCAAAAATACCATTTATCATGGAAGAAATACTGTAAAATGATTCTCTGTCGCCCCCTGGTGGTTGATGTTGCAAATTACAAGTAAAACCACTAATGTCAAATCTAGGGATTGAAGGTGATTTAAAGTGAAAGGTCCTTACAGTGCATGTCTGTTCATGTATGTGAAAGCTGTGATTGTGTCCCACCTGTGCACATCAATAGTCTCCAGCAGACGGAAAGCCACCCAGGTCCAAAGGAAGAACATGTGATTACAGAAGATCATGATTCCGATGAAGAACCCAGCGCCGAGGATGATGGTCTCGGCGGGATGTGCGTACTCGGCCTGCATGCCGAACGGAGCCTGAGAAACAGCCGAGATGCACGACATGAGAGGGATTGTTGTTGGGTTTTACTTCATTAAAGACAGAACACAAGAACTGAAGAAAATGTATTTTAAAATCATTATTATAGTACATATAGAACATTTAAAACATATAGAACATATAATATAGTCTCTACCTTTCATATTAATCTTTATGGATCTCTAGTTTTCTCTAAGACATAAAACTACAAGAAAAACATTACTGACAGAGATGAACACATTATTAAAACAATAATAAACAGTCAAGCTTCTCGTAGTTTATCTTTGGATTATTGTAAGAAAACCACTGACCATCATAGTGCYGATAGCTTTGGCCTCAACAAGATCATGATGTTTAATAAGTAACCCCTTTATTTACTTTTATCCCCRTGTGTCTTTACTCACAGTGAACTCATGGTGGACTTTGTGGATGTATTTGTAGATCCGTCTGTGGTGTAGAATGCGATGGAGGAAATAATGCCAGGTGTCCTCGATGACAGCGCAGCCAAAGCAGCGAGCCAGAAGAGAAGTCCTGTGAGAGACGAGAGGAGGTTATTGTTTAAAAACTATAATGTTATAATAACAGTCATGAATGGACTAAACTGAGTTTCCACATTTACAGATCTGTCTGAAAGATCTCTTTGAACAACAACAAAAAAAAACTTTGGTAAAACAAAATTCCAAAGTAAATTCATTAAAACAACCAGTCAMAATGGTTTTGTCCAACAACTGATTTACATTTAAAACTGCAACGTATTAGCTTTAATTTTAAGAAAGACATACAGAYGTATGAGAAACAAGTCATCCCATATTTTATAATCATCCAAAATATAAAATGCCAATTATATCTGTTGCAGTCACTCTCTGATTTGGCTGTTAATATTTAATAATAGCTGTCATTTCAGTGTGATTTATTAGTGTTATTAGCCTGGCACTGACCAGCGTGGCATTGAGTCCCAGTCGTACGGGATGTTGAAGTATTCGGTGAAGTAGTATGTTCCACAAATTAAAGGAAACTGGATGCAGAAATGATTGAACAGCAGCATCTTTAAACACCTCCACTGTTTCTCCCATGTCTCTGGCTTGTCCTGCACACACACACACACACACATSATTATCTAAATTGTTTAAAACTTAAAGCATCCAATCAAATAAAACACRCACACATACCTGCTGAATCTTGTACTTCTGCATAAAGGGTATAAACTGGAAGAAAAATCCGGGCAAACAGAAGAGGAAATAGATAAACTCGTGAACGAAGAGGGATCCCCATGTAGCAATCTGGAACTTGGTGTAGTTGTCCATCATGTAGCCCCAGGCGTGTTTCAGGGAGGGGTGCAGGGGGTTCTCTGGCAGCACAGCGTCTACGTACTCCACTGCAAGATAGGCCGAGCTCAAAATGTCGGCTGTGCCGTTCGCTGCCATGATGGAGGGTTGCAAGAGGACTGCGGGTCCGGAAAGGAGGTTGAAAGAACCACATAGGACATCATAAATGGATTTGTTGTGTACTTTGGAGGCAGATATTAGCCTAAAAACTAAGTCAGTTAAGAATACAACAATCTTTCTTTTTACTACATCGTCACACTTATTTAAATGCTTGTGTTTTACATCTTGTATAAATGTGGAAAAATGATAAACCCTCATTTTATTTACGTTTCGCTTCCAAGCAGCCAGACTTTCTTGTACTCTTGTTTTTTATCAATAGTTCATGAGACTTTAAAGTTTTAATTAGTATTATTGGCTGCTATTTTACTCATTCAGTCTCGTCCTTGTCCCTGATCATGTGCAGCCTCAGCTCAAAACGTGGACAAGTGGAACAAAAATTGAAAATGTCAGGCCTAAAACACACTATCTGTAGCAAATGGATATAATCTAAAAAATGTGTCTTTGAGAAGACAGGAAAGTAAAAATCTAAGAAACACTTGACGTGATTTAGGAACTGTTTTATCCTATCCTAACAATTTACCTAATTGTTGTTGGGAATCATTTCATAAGTGAGAAAAATAATGTTTTTACGTGTGAAACATATATTTTTTGAAACCTTATTCATTTATTTAAAAATAACTAAATAAATTTATATACAATAAAAATACAAATCACAAATAAAGCGAAAGGCGACAGAAAGACGAAAAATCTTACAGTATGTGTGTCTTTTTCTTCCCAAAATTAAAACTTCAAACAATAATAACCTACAAACAAGAAAAACTAAACAAAAACTACCTCAAATCCATTTTGTATGAACACACATTATATTGTTTTATTTCTTTAACATTTCATAGATTCAGCTAAAAAAATGGAACCAAGTTGTGCTTTTGTGACAGATTATTATAAAAGCCTAAACATCAAATTTAATTAATTTTATTTTTGGCTAAATTGTCTATTATGTGTTAAAGAAGTCTGACTCATTTATGGAGGTCAAATCAAGATTATGCAAGACTTTCACACAGAGAGCTGCAAGAGGAAACATTTTGAGACTAAACAGCTTAAATTAGCTTCACCTATGGATGGATAAAGAAAACAGATAACTAGTTAGAAACTAAAGACAACAATGAATATTAGCCATGTTTTAAATGGATAATGGCTCAAAATAAATGTTGTTTATTATAAAAAAAAAAAACCTTCATGTCAGAAACTAAAACTGCAGCTAGACGCACTTCCTGCCTTGGCAGTTCGACCAGACAACATGAATTCTTACCTTTCCGCCGTACGTCCCGTCTACCTGAAGCAGAGGAAGCAGACCGGGTGAAGTACACTAWYATCGGCGATTCTCATTGGYTGATGGGAGAGAAGAGTGACGTCAGAGAGCAGTATGGACTCTCTGATTGGCTGTCGGAATGGAGTGATGATAGTAAGACTGGAGGGTTCTACAGCGCTGACCAATAACAAGCGAGTTATTTTCACAAGTTTAGCAGCTGCGCGAGGRAGTAGATGGGGTGGTGGGGGTGTCTATTTGAGAACTTCAGTCAGAGGGTTTGTGTCTGTTGGATTGTTTGAAAATGTACTTTTGATTGGTGTTATACAAGCTCTGACTCCAGTTTTATGTTTTGAAATGATAGTATACTTGGCCATTTTAGTTTTCTGATGAAAAAKATTAAATTGCACAGGCCTACTCCTCAATGACAAAGCTCTGTCGACACATACTTGGTGCAGAAATGTATTTTTTCCCCCCAACAAAACAAATTGTTGCAAAGGATGAGCCACAGAGGGAAAAAAAAATCAAAACTTATTTTTCCTGAGTTTTAACTTTTTTCTCAGCATTCTGAGATTAAAGTCAGAACTTTGGATTTTTTTTTCCCCCTCTGTGGCCCTAATTCTGTAGTTGCATTTTTAAATCCACACAACTATTTTTTATAAAGTGGTATAGTTGTAAAACTGAATGGTTTACAAAATGTCTTTTGTTGTTTCAGGTAATAGTTATTCAGAAATATGGACATTTTTAAATGCACACTGAATGTCTACAAAAATAATTATGGTTATCAAATAAAYGCAGTGTATACAGTAAGGTCTTTGAGAAAGTATCTTATCAAAAAGTGTTATCAAAAATGATTTTATATTTCTGTTTTGTGTGCATGTTTGTTACCAAAACATCTCATGAACCACAAATTTGGTGTAGTAGTTGGGATTGATCCCCAACTAATACTCTGCTAAGAAATGATGCAAATAATTAAGCAACTTACAATTCATTGAGCTAAAATTTGGAACAGTTGTAGCCGASAGCCTACAGATTACAAGTGCTACTCATTTGCACAAGATCTTTACTTAAAACATTAGCATTAAATGTTRGGGTTAACCTGGATTGTCTGTTRGCAAAATTCCTTATGAACCTYAGGRCGGATTTTAAATCTTGGATCTATGCTATATGCTATGTAAAAGTAATCAAATTACTCGTGACACTTTTGTTTTTCCAACGTATTTACTGGCTTGGCAAAGTTTTAAAAACAATATATTATTTCACAGCTTAAAATACAAGAAGCATATTTATTCATAAAATAATAATAATAATATAAAACATGTAATAAAACATTTCCCAAGTTATTAGCCAACGTGACATTCCTCAAAACACTGACGAGAAACAGCTATACCAGTTAATTTTATAGCAAGTTTTGATTATAGCAGAAGAAGCGAGAAAAACGAGAGTTAAAAAAAAGGAGTTTGGTCACTTCCCAGTAAGAAAGAGAGAACAGATTAGTAACAGTAGTAAAGAGAGACAGAAATAAGAAGAGATAGTAAAATTGGCACATTCATATTACGCTCAGGGGTGCGCAGCAGGTAATTACATCAAACAAGAGGAGGGAACTGAGAAAACAGGGTAAAGACGGGGTCCATGCAGAGAGTTCAGGCTGCTGCTCTCATTTAGTGGTTACAACCAGGATAAATATGGCTGCCAGGTAAGAACACATCCAGCTGTTTCACATTTCAAACAGCTTCTCTCTCTTCGCTGTTTGGCTACACGACTGAGGTTTCTCTTCCAACAAAGGCTGTTTTCTCTGTGAGGTGTACATGATCGTGTTCTCAAATTCTGTTATTCATTAAAAAAAAATAACAAGCTAATACAGCCAATCCCACAAATCTAAAGTCAGAATTTATTTCTAAATCCCAGACAAGCGTCTCGAGTCCCGGAACGATACACGAGGCAAAAACAGAGGAAAGTAGAAAGGTGTACTTTGACATTCAGGCACTCTTAAAGAGCCTCACCGCAGCACTGCAATAAGTCAGAAGTTAGACAGTGTACTCATGCTGCATCAAACCAGGCCTCACGACACACTAATGCAAACAAAAACACATGCCTTACATGTGCGAGCAATGGAGCACACTTCTCAGAAGAACAAAACAAAAAAGAAGAGGAAAACAAACAGAAAAAAAAAAAGAAACTCTTCAGTCTAAAATGCTCCTTCGCTGCTTTGCTCGGGCACAGAATACGACTACTCTTTCTCAGGTCTGGTTTGTGTTAACGCTACTAATGATAAAGTAACTTCGCAGTTATAGCAGCTTCATGTCAGTAGCATCTCAGTGTCTCTGCAGCTGTACAGCTGTGCTTCAAACTGGGTCCTCCAGTTACGGCTGCGCTTCCCGCCCGAAGCGGATTAAAACAGGTTTGATACCCTCGTTTTTTTTTTGTTTCTTGTTCGTTTTTTTTTTTTTATGGCTCCCTCTCGTCTCAGCTAAGTGCAAAAAGCTTCATCGTCCTCAACAATAACAATCGTTGTTATATTTCCTTCATCTTCGTCAGCAGCGCCCGAACCGATGCTGCCCAAAACTCGAGCATCAGTGTCGTAGACAGATCCAAGATCAGTATTCAGCACGAGAATACATTCTGCTTTTTAATCAAAGGCAGCTGTCAGGAACAGTCATAAGGGCTTGTCGATCATGGTCACACCTGTAGATGGGGAGAAAAAGAAAACATGAACATCATCAACAGAAGCCACCGGAAAAAAAAAACATTTTCATGTATAGATTTGAGAAAATACTTTGATTTCATGYGTTATAACAGATTTATTGTACTTAAGCTTTTAGCTGCCATGCAAGCACAGTTCATGTTAAATGATAACATATAAARTCTCTTGCGTGCCGACCTGCATAACTGCGGCCTGTGCTCATGCAGGTCGGCAGCAGCGTCCACTTATCCGTGTTTGGATTGTAGAACTCCACCGAAGCCAGATTGCAGCTGCCATCGTCCCCGCCCACCACGTACAGCAGGTTGTTCACAGCACACACGCCTGAAAACGAGGAGGCAACAATAAACATCTGTCAAAGAAAACGTCACGCGTCCCGAAAGGTCTCGTAGGTCCGTGCTGACCTGCGTTGCGTCGACACATGTTCATGTCAGCGACCTGTCGCCAGCTGTTTGAAGCTGGATCGTAGACTTCACAGCTTTTTCTCACTAACGGGCCATCGTGTCCCCCCACAGCATACAGTAAACCTTTCAATACACCTACACCTGAGAAAGAYATGGAGGATATTTAGATTACAGTAAAACCAGAGAAATATGTTTACATCTAATTAAACACGTCTACTCATCTCTCACTAGTCGGCACTTTGGATGRAAGGACTTTCTCCCACTTTACATGCTAAATACTAAATATGGCAGCATTATGTCCACAGTTTTTCAAAAAAATAGCTGGAACTGGACAAAAACCCAAGGGTGACACCTATTGGTCATATTGGGGTTTTACATTCACCWCAAGGCCATAACAGCTGTGTAAAATTAATATTTTCTGTGATTTTTTTTAACTTCTAACACAAATTCCAAATCATTAATGAAATTAAGTTACTGAAATTCTCTCATTGGAAATTAGAAATATCTCAACACAGCCACAAATTTTGCTTTAATGTAGTTTTGTGGAGGTTTTGTGCAAAGGACTGATCTTAAGCTGATGAATCAAATTGATTATTTAAACATTTAAGTTACAACAAGAACAAACTAAACAAACACACCTGCTCCGCTACGTCTCGTGCCCATCTCTGCTATATAGCTCCATGCGTTGCTTTTAGGACTGTAAGCTTCTACTGTACTTAAACACTGCCTGGTGGCTCCATCATAACCCCCAACAGCATACAGGATCCCTGAGAACACAAGAGAGCATGCTTGGCATCATATGAAATGTTGGCTGGTTTAGTGTACGAAAGCTGGTTGCATTAGATCGCTGGGCATTCCTGTAATCGTGGTTTATAATTTTTGGAAAATCCTGTCCTCCAACCTGACTTTAAAAACAAACAGAATGGTATTCACCATTAACAACACCAACTCCCACGCTGCTGCGCCTGGTGCTCATAGGCAACACGTGGAACCACTCGTCCGTCTTGGCGTTGTACGCTTCGATTGTGGAAAGGCCTGCAAAGCATTCACATTAAAAACCTGAAGATCGGTCCCGGTGCACGACGGTTAAAACACACACAGGAACACAGCCGTACCCGTGCTGCCGTCGAAGCCTCCGACAGCGTAGAGGAGCCCGTTTAGAACAGCTGCGCCGAGCGTGGACCGCCGGTCCTGCATGCTGCTTACACTCGTCCATCGATCCATCGCCGGGTCGTAGCAGTCCACCGTCCGCACGCGCAAAGACCCGTTGAAACCACCAACCGCGTACACACACCCACTCATGTACACCACACCTGAAGGACACAGAATTTGTACACTGTTAACACCATCATCCTGCTTAAATTAAGACTTCAGTTTACAAACAAACAAAAAAAACATATGTGGTATAAATCTGCAACAGGTGTCAAGCATAACGCAGAAATTATTCACTAAAATAGATTTATTGACCAGAACTGTGGGTACCTAGAAAGTTCATTTAAAAAAATTCGCAATTTTAAAATCTTAAATCAACCCAGTTTTTCTGTTAGCAAAATATCTCATGAGCCCCTGGATGGAAACTTTCAGAAAGTAATCATTTTATATGCATCAACATGGCCACCACTGCTAATCAACCTTAGTCAGCACTGTCAGTTTTACAAATAATGAGATGATATTCCATGTAGTCCATGAAATATGCCACGTTTATCTGGATTAAAACAGTAACAGAAAGTTTAATGTAGTGCTGTACCAAACGATTATTTTCTAATCGATTAATCTAATGATTATTTTTTCGATTAATCTATTATTCTAACAACAAATCTAAAAGTTATTCTGATGTGACTGCACTGGATATTTAAAATGTTTTCATCAAATTAACAAGAACAGTTCTTTAATATTGTAATATTTTCTGT